AGTGCCCCGTGCGCCGCCTCTGCCAGGCTGAACGCCTGCATGGTCTCATTTTTGCACTTGCCGCTCTATGTGCCTGACCGGGCGGTGGTGGATCGGCTCACAGCTTGGAGAGTCGAGCCCATCCTCCCAGTCCGCCGCCGGCTCTTGCCCGGCACGGCCATGACCGACGGTACGCGCAGCGTCCGGGTGCGGTTCCCGTAGGGCGTGGTGTCCCTCCCCTACAGCGCGAAGTTCGACACGGCTGAAGGCCCACGGCACATCCGAGTAGTACACGATAACCAGGTCAAGCTCTGCCGGATGTGCAGGCAGCCGGGGCACGTCCTGGCTCAGTGCCCTAGGTACCTCTGTCGCGTCTGTGGGGTGCAGGGGCATTACACGCGAGACTGCACTGCCGCCGGCTGCGCCGACTGCAAGAAGGCAGTCGCTCTCTGCAGCTGTCCCGCTGCACCTGGCCAGATAGGGGGATGCAGGTAAGGCGGGCTCGGGCTCTCATGTTGTGCGTGGGGCAGAGCAGTGTCGCCAGCAGGACCTGAACGCCGCCGGCTGCCTGGACCAGCACGGCCCCGGACAGGACGCCAGCGCCGACGACGGTGGGGCTGGCATGGAGGTGGCAGGCGTTGAGCACGGGGAGGACACTGGACAGCGACAGGAGAGTGGGGAGGCGTCCGTAGGGGTGGACGCTGGACAGTGGGGAGGCTGGAGCGCCCCCGGCCTAGCGAGACCAACCAGGACCTGGTGCTGGACTCGTTGGAGAATCCTCCGGAGCTGCGGAACCCCGGGAGCTGCCAGACAGCGCTGCGTCTGTCTCCTGGGGTGCACCTGACCCACAGTCACCTGCCGAGGACTCAAGACCCGCAGCTCCGGCCGCGAGAGTGCTGGGGGTAAGACTTATGCTGCCCCCCCTCCCTCCATCCCTCTCCCCGTGTGTCTGTGCCGCTCGCCTTTCTGGTCACAGCTTCCCCTGGACAGCGAGACACTGCTCCACCTCGACACCCTGGACCAGGGTGCACCCAGCATACCATCACTGGAGGTTGTCCCCCCTACTGGAGGTCGGCTGAGTAGGAACCGACTAAAGACCAAGGCCCGCGACATGCCCCGGCCCGGGGCCCTCCGGACTGCGCCTGCGGTGGAAGCGCCCCACCGGAGACCCGAGGAGCGACGGCAGTCGGCGGCAGCTGCTCTCCACGCACTGCGTGCTGCGAGCCTGGGCCCTGACGACAGTGTGAATGTCCTTACTGTGTCTTTTGTTCTAGTGTAGTGCTTTAGTTCGATGCAGATAACATGCATAGTTCTTTCCTTTTTGTTTCTTTTGTATTTTGTGAAGGTCTTTCTTGTTTCGTCACTGTCGCCCTGTCGAATTGCCTTGCCTGCATGTGTCGTCTTGTGTGTACTGTTTCAGTTTAGTTGCACCCACGACCTGGGTACGTTTTATGGTTTGTATTGTGTACTGTGCTTTTACCCTGACATCGCCCGATCACCGCGTGGGAGGGCTGGGACTGTGTATGGGGTAGTCTCGCTTTTAGCCATTACTGCTTTTAACTGTGTGCCCTGGGGTAGTGTGTTGTCTGACTGCACGCAAGCGTCATGGTAGTGACCATCACCTCCCTCAACGCCAGGGGCCTGCGCTCCTGGCCTAAGTTGCAGGCAGTCCTGACTCAGTGTGCCTCATCAGCTGTGGTGTGTCTACAGGAAACTGGGTGGGATGGGGCTTTTATTGAACGGGTGCGAGACGTATGGTCGGGCGATGTCTTCCACTCCACTGCCTCTGATGGAGCGAGGACCCTCGGTAGGGGTGTCGCGCTGCTCTGTCACGGACCCCGCGTCGAGTCGGCTACACCGCTGTACTCTAGTGGGGATGGGAAGTGTCTGGCGGTCAAAGTGCTCTTAGGGGGTGTTTTCACCATCACCATCGTAGTCGTGCACGCACCGAACGATGAGGTCCTTTGTGCCTCGTTCTTCGACTGTCTGGCAGTGCGTGTAGCACAGTGGCCCTGTCCTTTTGTCATCGGGGACACCCGACATCCTCTCTGAGGGGCGGCCCCTTGAATTCCGGCACTGGTGGGAGGCTGGAGTGCGTCAGGTGACACGGTCTCTTCTACGAGGTGCGCCCTGGCTTCCTGCCTCCCGCAGCGATCTATGACCAGGTCGAGGAAGTGAACGAGAGGACCACTAGGGTCACTGTCACTAGACAGTGTTTGGCCACCAGAGCGGCTCTCCCTGCTGACTGGGTGCGTGACATCGAGTGGGCCGGCGGCCCCCGTGACGTGGCCCCACGTTTCCCCGCGGTGTATGTGAGGCGGCTGTCCGGGTCCCTCGTCCCCCTGGGAGCCTGTGTGACCCGTGACTTTGCTCGCCTCTACAGGCAGCGCGCTTTTGTTTCCCCAGTGGCGCAGGTGTTCTGGAGCGCTCGCTTCCCCGCCCTGGGGCCTGACCTGTTGTGGGGGAACGTGTTGGTCTGCCCGGCGGATCCCGCTCTCGCCCAGTTTGACTACAGACAGCGGCATAACACCCTACTCACAATGTGGAGGCTGCATAGACTGGGCCTCGCAGCGTCTCCGCTATGCCCAGTGTGCCGGGAAGTGGAGGAGGGCCTGACACATGTTTTTCGGCTGTTCTCAGTTAGTGGCGTTTCATGTGTGGGCTGTGGAGGTAGTGGACAGGATCACCGGGGCGGCGGGGCCCGTGCCTGATTTTACCGAGGCAGGGTGGCAGGTGACGTTCCTCTTCGGGCTCGTGAGGGGCCACCCTGCCAGCACCTTTGTCAATTTGTTTTTAGCCATAGCTAAGTATGTGGTCTGGTTACGGCACAACTGGGCCCGACTGGAGGGTATGGTGCTGGACCTCATCACCGTCTGTAAGAACCGGTTACGCCTAGTTTTAGACAAGGTGCTTTTACTGTCTGCCGGGCCCCGTGGCTTGCCCCGGTTTCTTAGCATGTATGTGGACCGGGTCCCTTATTTCCCATGTGGGTGGGCGGCTGGTGTGTGTTTGTGTTGCTGTTATGTGTTGTTGATGGTACCTGTGTTTTTGCTGTGTGTTTTGGTAGGGTTGCTTTGTAGTGTGGGCCTGGTCCTTTGTTGGTTGGTCTGTCTTCCCTGTTTGGTTGTATCACTGTCTCCCTGATTTTAATGGGTTATGTGCTGTACAGGAGGCAGACGCCTGTCCTTTTTGATTAAATTGGCTTTCCTATGTCTTGCCACAATGCATGATGAAGACTGCTGCACCCTGTGCGTAGGGTCCTGGGCCGTGGGTTCGCCCCGGCCTGGGTCCTGCGTCCCTGTACCGCCTCCTGCTGGTGGCGTATGTGTGGCTCTGTCTTTCTGAGTGGTTAATAAAAAATAAATAAAAAATACACCCGGTCTCGTCCGATCTCGGAAGCTAAGCAGGGTCGGGCCTGGTTAGTACTTGGATGGGAGACCGCCTGGGAATACCAGGTGTAAGCTTCTTTTTTCTTTATTTTCTTCCCCTTTTGCTTTACCCAGGGGGTGCCCATTCCCCTCACAAATGTAAACTGATCAGCCCAACCTTTCATATTACGAATTATTCTTAAGAAATCACCAACTTTTACACACATCTTATGCTCATTAATTATGTTATCACAACATTACATCATCTCAAAGCACTTTACTGCATCTCCATCCAAAGCCCCCAGTGAGTAATCCATAGGCAACAGTGGCAAGGAAAAAGTCCCTAGATGGAAGAAACTTTGGGAGGGACCAGACTCAAAGGGGGAGCCCATCCTCCTGGGGCCGGCAGGACTCGACCAACAATGGAATGGTCTCTCTGAAGCCAGTCATTAAACATGTTTTTAGTTTTTTTTTCAGACGAGGAGAGAAATTAAGCTGTCACAAGGTTAAATTTTTGCTGACATAAACTCCTAAATACTTGATACTATCTTTCACTAGGATCTCACTAGTCATTTGGTCATCTTATTTGTAAAAATATTAAATTTCATATTTATTTGAATTTTGATTTAGCCCTGAGGTTTGAGAAAAAGTTTGAATGGAATTAAGAGTAGGTGGAATTTGGTCTTTGTCTTTTAAAAATGATGTTGTCATCGGCAAGCTGAGTGTGAACTTGTTAGTGTGTGCAACTCACAGTGTTTTAGGTGGAACGTGGTATCCAGGGTACTGAAGTGTATTTTGTACGGATCAATCGTCCCTGTTACTGGTGTTCATAAAATCGGGCCATTATAGGAGGCCTGCAGGATGTCTTGAAGGAGTAATGTTTGCTCTTGGGTAAAAGAGGAAGAGAAAGCTATTTTGTTTTTTATTTTATGAAGTAGACATACTACGGCAGGCTGCATAACATTCTCTTATAGAGCTCCTCAGCTGTGGAATAGTCTTCCATTGGTTGTGCAAGATTCAGACTCACTCTCAATGTTCAAATCTAGACTAAAAACACATTTGTTTAGTCTGGCTTATAGGGACTCTAGTTTTAGCTCTAGCTAACTGTACACTCCCAGTTAGACCTATAGTGTGAGGTGCAGAGCTGGATGAGATTGGTGCCATTGACTTTGGATGAACTGAACTGTCAGTGCTGTCACTCCAGCTCAGGGAATGGCAATCCATAAAGGGGATATATTTTGCTGACCTAAGTGATATCCCAAAAACCTGCAAATATAACAGTGGACGTTTTGTTGTTTCCACTTGCACTCCTGTGTGAGCCAGCTTTTCGCATATACTAATGGAATAGTGGTTAAATACTGACCTCTAGTGGTTTCACAGGTAGAACTGATTGGCTCTCACAGTTTTGGAGACTAAGGCCCAATCCCAATTCTACCCCTTACCCCTACACTTACCCCTACCCCTCCGTTTGGCGCGTTCACGTGTAGGGGTAGGGGTGTCTCAATTCTCTTGTGATTGGAGGGGTAGGGGTAAGGGGAAGGGCTAGATAGCCCTCGAAACGAAGATTTTTCGGGACCTCACTTCAAACGAAGGGCTAAGAGAAATTTACAACATGGCTGCCCACTCGAGCAAGCAGACCCATAAATGTTAAGTAATTTTTGCCATTAATAAGGATTTTTATGACATTTTTTCATTACATGTATATTACCATCAATCTTGTGTTTGTGTTTACGGTGATGTTCTGTAAAGAAAAGTTTGAAAAAAAATCGCTAAAGTTTGCTTGCGGATAGCACTGATTGCACAATATTAGGAAATATATTTTTATGTCATATAACGTTACCCGGTAACTGACTGCATGTTGTAACGCGTTGTTTTGTTTTGCTTACGGCCATATGTGTACATGTAAATGAACGGTGCTTACACTATTCGTACTTATTGCAACATGACAACATTTTTGTAAATTATATTCTGTATAGGGACAGCTGAGGAAACCCGAAGGCTCATACGTTTTCGAGGTGAAAACGAACATCTGTTTTTAAAGTCCAAATACGGCGCAAAAAAACTTTGGGAGTGAGTAATCTTTACATGCTACGATGCTGACGGCGACATCTTGGAATTTGTGATAAACATCGGCGCATGTCCTCTGACGTAACGTTAGGAGGTAGTGACAATGGATGATGACGTATAACAGTGTAGTAGTGGTGTCCCATTTCTTAGGGGAAATTTTTTAACCCTACCCCTTTCCACTTCATTTCAAGGGGTGAGGGGTAGGCAAAGGGGTAGAAAATAGAATTGGGATTGGGCCTAAGCCAGCAGTAAGTTCTATGTAAACAGGGCTCCGATGTAATTAATTATTCATGCTTCAGTGAACGTTCCAAATCAACACTGATTGATAGAGATTACATCTCCCTCCTTGTAGATGTTGTCAGTGTACTTTGTGTTGTTGTTTATGTAGTTTTGAGTGGATTTTTGTCGAAGTTTTGAAACCACACGTGAGGATAGCTAATATTCCATCTCTCCCCATACTAGCATTGCCTATGTATTTCAAACTGTGCTGCCCTGCGGAATCCCAACTTTGTGTTGTTTGTGCCAGGTGAATAAAACCACTGCATGGTCCCACGTCTCCTCGTTCTTTGAGTGAAAACCACAACGCAGACACATGAGGGGTTACACATACACACCGGCCTTTTGTGGATAAGATTGCCCACCCCTGCTGTAGTTTCACACCCCCTTGTGGAATTGAAGTGCTGATTTTCAGGGACTCCCCATGCCTGCGTTCCCACCTGCCTCTCCCTCCTACTCATGCTGCCATAGCCATATCTGCGAGAGCTTACATACTGCACTCACCTAATTGCACTGCCTATAAGCTCCCCTACTTTGGCTAGTTGCACATTTTATTTTCCTTACTCCTCCTGGGCTGTGCTGCCTGGAGACCCCAAATGATCAAGATATCCTGCCCACCCCGCTGCCTGCGACGTCTCCACTACCTGTGGCGTCCTTCCTGCCTGCTCGCCCTTCTGCCTGTGATGCCTCTTCTGAATGCCCTGCTGCTGTACCGCTGCTCGTCCTGCCATCAGAAGCAGCACCAGCACCTGCCTGCCATCACCTGCCTGCCCCCCACCTTTGAGACTCAGATGTTAAAATTTTGACAGTGTGAACTGGAACTTTGCCTTCTTGCCCATTTGAATTCCTCTGCAGGCCCCTGGAGGATGGGCTCCCCCTTTGAGTCTGGCTCCTCCCAAGGCTTCTTCCTTCTAGGGAGCTTTTACTTGCCACTGTCACGTCTGGCTTGCTCACTGGGGTTTTTGGGTGGGGATAATGTAAATCACTTTGAGACAATGTAATGTGAAAATGTGATATACAAATAAAATTTAATTGAATTGAACATACAGACATGCATCTTAAGTTGGTCGTCCAGTACAGGGGTGCAAATCCTGTAAACTGTACTGTACTGTAAACTTACTGTTAAAGGTAAGACGACAGCAGTGTAATTTTTATGTTTAATACCACAGTATTGATATTTATCAGTATATCAAAGGCGTAAGTGAGTATTAACACTGTCAAGCGAGAGGTTAAGATGGGACTACCAAGAAGCGGACTTAATAATAGAGTCCTGAAGAAGAGAGGGTACTTTAATGTATATTACTTACAATGGTGATTTTAAAAACAGAAGAATTCCGAATATAAACATAATAATAATAGGTTTTTTTTTTCCATAATAAGAATGGTTTTCAAGGCATTGGAGATAAAAAAAAAATCTCGATGGTGATATTCACTTCTTACTTTGCCACTGGTTGTTTTACATAACTATATCAGAAATGAAGTTGCGCTGCATGCGATATTTTGCGCATAAAAGACTAACTGCGAATCGTGACTTCTCCGGCAAGTGGCGCACCTCAGCGGTTTCAACCTAGACTCGTGTATTTCCGTTTTCGTCGTTTTTACGCTTCATTCCGACCTCATTGGCTGACTGGCCACCAAGCAGCTGCCTGATTCGCCGGAAGAAAACGCCGGCGCATCCAATGAGATGACGTGCGTTTTACAAAGTCTGAAGCGGCGTGTGGCAGTGATGGGATCTCTTCGTTTGGTATAGAGACTAAAGAAAAGATAAAGTTGTATTATTTTAACTGTAATTAGTGACACTTCGGACTGAAGTTGCCATAGGGTCTCGATTCAGCGGAGCCAGGAACGGAACATTCAGAGTGTGCTTTATGTTTGCCTGTAAGATTCTGCATCAGGTAAGTGATATAGTATACGAGCGAATATTCAATGTTGGTTTTGTTTGCGGTTTTTGCAATGTAAAGTTGAAAATATTCTTATTATCGGAGAGTTGCAGTGTTAAAGTAGCTGCCAACTGGTAACATATTAAACACTGTTGATACGGAGAACAGTATCATATCATATGACCAGCGCCGTTGTAATGCTGTAATGATTGGGTATGGAGATATGTGTTTATCCCCGATTCACCCGCGATGTCCTGACCTATGTGTTTTAAACAGTTTGGTAGGCTGGGGTGTCAGTTTGACTCGGCATGGCGTGTGTGGATGCTCACAGTCGAAACGTGTTAAAGAAAGCCCCACTTATCGACACACGGTGAGACCAGCTTCGTTTTTCAAGGAAAAATAATATGCCGTTTGCTGTTTCGTTAGGTCATACCGTACAGAAAAATGGCAGAATTGTGTTAAGAAAGTGACCATCTCAACTTTTTTTTTGCCAGGAATGTGCCATGCGGTACACCTAGTAAAGCTGCTTCAAAACCAGCCTCCTCCAGGAATGGTGGTGAGAACCGGGACCCTCTTGCTCATGCCAGTGGTTTGGGGGCCACAGTGCCAAACAAGTGCTCAGGAGTCAGTAGGATACCGGTGCCCGTTAAATCCCAGCGCTTAAAAACTCTGACTGATGCCACCCAGGTACAGAGGAAGCAACAGGAGACCACAAAGGTAAGATCATCTGTGTCTTTTTACAGTTTTGATGTTTATTTGACCTTATTACTAAAAAAGCCATGGCCAAAATGAATATCTTTTCTCAATAGACAATGGCAAGGTTTTTATTAGCCATCACAGCAGTGAAACAGTTGTTATAGTTTCCTGCAAGCTTTTGGGATGTTGGACCACTTCCCTTTTGTGAAGATCTCCAGGTCTTTCAGCTTGGAAAACTTCCTTGCAGTCACTCAGGTGTTTAGCTCCCTCCACCCGATTCTTGGTTGGGTTCACACGCTGCCCCTCGTACAACCATCATTCTCAGCACGGGGTCACTTTTGGCCTCCTACCACACCCTTTGAGATTTTTCACAGTGTGACACTCATACTTTTTGTTTATGCTTTGCACTGTAGCCACTGGGACTTGGATATTGCTTTATAGTCTTCTCCTCACTGAGTTCTTTGGTCATGGCTTGCAATTGACTAGTAACTGACTAGAAAGCAACTGCATCAGCCGTTCTTATTATATAGTTTATTAGAATGCTCTGGAGTTTAGACCATGATAATTACCTGGACCATTTGGAATAGTATAGAAGCTTATATTTTCTCTCTTGCTGCAATATCAAGGTGTATGAATAATTTTGGACATGACATTTTCCTGATTATTGTCAAAGAATAACATAAGAATAATTTTTCATTGCTAATGAAAATAGCACAATGTCTCACCATCTTTTGTCACATACTTCATGTCAATTACAGACAGATGAAACAACTTGGTCAGATAATTCACTATACATCAAAATTTGACACGGTATGAATAATTTGGATCTTGGCTGTATGTGGCCAGGTCACAGACGCAGCAGTCAAAGCAGGGCCCAGACCTTTCACCAGCTACCTTCTCCCACTATGGGGAAATACCAAAGCGTTCCCAGGCCAGCCAAGAAAGATAATCTCTCCAGCGTCTCCTGAGTCTGCCCTGGGGTCTCCTCCGGTTTGGCCATGCCTGAAACACCTCCCCAGGGAGCCATCATGGAGGCATAGATGCCCAAACCACCTCAACTAGCTTCTTTCGAAATGTATATTAGTGTCATTATTTATGACTGGTGTTGGATTGTCCTCATTTTTTATTTAGAGCAAACCTCAGAAGAAGTCCTGCACCAAGCCAGTGCCCTTCAAGCTGTCCCAGCCCCGCACTTCCAAGTCTGCTGCCACAGGGCAGAGGAAGGCCCCGGTGGGCCAGAACCCTGTAGCACCACAGCCAGGACCTGGTGCTGGCGGCCGGACTGCCAAGGCCCCTAACGTGGCTCCCTCTGTCAGTACCACTGTTAGCTCTGGCGGGTCTTCTAAACTAGGTACACCGGGAACCGTGGAGTCCAGGAGTCTGCCGGACCAGACATCACCCCCTGACGGCACGGTGTCCCAGGCCCTGCCCTTGCCATCACACAGCAAGGCCAGCAGTCGAACCTCCCCCCCACTTCCATGCACACTACACCCCAGGACCCAGTTTGGCCCTCCCTGCCAGGGTACAGCAGACAGTTCAAACTCGGCTGTTCAAAAGTTGCTTATCCCTCTGGTGGAACAAACTTTGCCGCCATCTGGCTGTTCAAAGCCCCCCGACAATCAGGCAGCCCCCCCTGAAGCAGGTGGCACAGCTGATGGCTCAGGAGGATCCCTGACAAGTTTGCAGGATTCTACGACGTCCTCTCAGACGAGTGCAGGTACACACGTCGTTCTTGGTGGCTTTCCCATGCCATCATCCTGGGTGCCCATTCAGTGTGGCGCTTGTTTCACTTGTCCTGCCCAACCCTAACCCCCAGGGCCCGCAGTGACATTCTGCCCCGACCCGACAGCCCTTCCCCGGAGGCCTGCCCTCTCCCCAGGAGCCACACCACGGGTCTCTGCTAACACTCCCAGAGAAGGCGGCGTCTACCTGGCAAGTGCTGGGATGTTATCCCTGGCCGCTGAATGCAACAGTCCTGCTTTTTTCCCCCATGGTTACTGCATTTACAAAAATTGTTCTACTTAATTTTGCAGAAACCACTGTTTATTACATACCTTGCATTTTACTCCTCTCTGGTGCATACTTTGTGCATTTAATTGTTTGAGATTGTCTATTGTCCTGTTCCTAACAGTAGCAACAATAAATTCCACTGGCCTTGATTGTGTGGCAGTAATGATTCTGATTCTGATGTGTTTATAAATAAGTAACCCTCAGACAGGCCTGTGGAGTTGTGGTCCTGATGAGTAAAGTTACTCCACTGTACTGCATCCTAGTAACACTGTGACTATGTCTTCATTTCAGCCTCAGAGGGTGCCTGTGAGAGGTCGCCGGGGGGGTGGTGCCGACACAGGTCAGTTCAAGGCTCTAATTATAGAAATCAAATTATGAAGTTTGTGTAAATCTGCCATCTTTCGTGAGTGACGTTGGTGACGGGTGGAATCAAGGAATGCTAAGTTCACACTACACGGCTTTCACAGTTGTCAAGATTGCTGTGCTGTTCACACTACGCAACTTGTCTTGTAATTGGGAATTGTTGTGGTTTACACACTACGTGACTGATCGGTGACAGGAGGTCGCACTACACCAGAAGGAATCCCCGGCGAGACTGTCTGGTCTATAGGAAGCAAGCGTGAGCCGTGGCACATGGAAATGACCATTCTCAGATTAGTGTCAACACACTACAAATTGTTAAAATACTTCAAATCAATTGACAGCATATGATCTATGTATATATCAAGCCACAAATAACTGTAGCTGTAACCATAAACTTTGAATACCTTATTGAATACATCTTCCCTGCACACTAAGAACAGATCAGAGTATAGCATCAAGTCAATTAAACTTCTGGGATATTGACGTGGTCAGTTAAGTAGCAGAGGGGGTTGTTAATCAGTTTCAGCTGCTTTGGTGTTAATGAAATTAACAACAGGTGCACTAGAGGGGCAACAATGAGACGACCCCCAAAACAGGAATGGTCTGGTTTAACAGGTGGAGGCCACTGACATTTTTCCCTCCTCATCTTTTCTGACTGTAGCCAAATGCAAAACTAGTGAAAAAACAGTCAGTGTCACTACTGGTAGCATGAGGTGATACCTGGACCCTACAGAGGTTGCACAGCACAGTCCAACTCCTCCAGGAAGGTGCATCAATACATGCCAATTGTCAGAAGGTTTGCTCTGTCTCCCTGCACAGTCTCAAGGGCATGGAGGTGATTCCAGGAGACAGGCAGTTACTCTAGGAGAGCTGGACAGGGCTGTAGAAGGTCCTAAACCCATCAGCAGGACCAGTATCTGCTCCTTTGTGCAAGGAGGAACAGAATGAGCACTGCCAGAGCCCTACAAAATGACCTCCAGCAGGCCACTGGTGTGAATGTCTCTGACCAAACAATCAGAAACAGACTTCATGAGGGTGGCTTGAGGGCCCGACGTCCTCTAGTGAACCTTGTGCTCACTGCCCGGCACCGTGGACCTGGATTGGCATTTGCCGTAGAATACCAGAATTGGCAGATCCACCACTGGCACCCTGTGCTTTTGACAGATGAGAGCAGGTTCACACTGAGAACATGTGACAGATGTGAAAGGGTCTGAAAAGTCGTGGAGAACGTTATGCTGCATGCAACATTGTTCAGCATGACTGGTTTGGTGGTGGGTCAGTGATGGTCTGGGGAGGCATATCCATGGAGGGACACACAGACCTCTACAGGTTAGACAGCAGCACCTTGACTGCCATTGGGTATCGGGATGTAATCCATGGACCCATTGTCAGACCCTACGCTGGTGCAGTGGGTCCTGGGTTCCTCCTGGTGCCCGATGCCCGGCCTCATGTGGCGAGAGTATGCAGGCAGTTCCTGTAGGATGAAGGAACTAATACCATTGACTGGCCCCCACCCTCGCCTGACATAAATCCAACAGAACACCTCTGGGACATTATGTTTCAGTCCATCCGACGGCGCCAGGTTGCACCTTAGACTGTCCAGGAGCTCAGTGATGCCCTGGTCCAGAACTGGGAGGAGATCCCCCAGTATACCATCTGGCGTCTCATTAGGAGGATGCCCCGACATTGTCAGGCATGCCTACAAGCATGTGGGGGCCATACAAACTACTGAGTGTGATTTTGAGTTGCTGCAATGAAATTTCGGCAAAATGGATTAGCCTGCCGCATCATTTTTTCACTTTGAATTCAGCCCTTTGTAGGTTGATAATTTTCATTTCCATCAAACAATGTGGCATCCTTTCATTCCTAACACATTACCTAGTTCATATCAGTATAGATATCAGCATGTGTTTTTTTTCCCCATTGAGATCTGATGTGTTTTCAAAGTGTTCCTTTAATTTTTTTGAGCAGTGTATATTACAGTGGTACCTCAGAACTCTGGATCGAATCCTAAAAAGTTCTGATCGAATTTTCCCCATAAGAAATAATGGAAAACCAATTAATTGGTTCCCAGCCCCAAAAAATTTAACCAAAATATGTTTTTTTTTTTTTAGCATTTAAACATAAAATGAACCGGATAAAACAAGAGCATATACTGTACTAAACGCATCTAAACACATTTATCAAAACAGTCATTTTTAAAGTAAGAAAATAAATGTATCCAAACAATGTGTCCTGCCCCAATCGTCTGCTCCTTCCGTGTGCCACACCCCCTCGTTAACCCCGTGCGTAATCCCCATGTGATCAGCTGTTTCTGGTTGTTGTCATTAGTCCTCTGTATTTCATCCGCGTTTCAGTTTCCCCAGTCCGGTATTGTCCGTCTGTGTTTTGACTGCCTTACCTGTAATTAAACCCCGTATTCCCCGATACCCTGACATCTGCGCTTTTGTCTCCGTTCCGTCCCCGCTGGGTATGAGAATATTATAATTAAATGTATTAATGGTTTATTAATATTAAAATAATTCATAGGAAATCGTTATTTTTAAATGTATTTTATTATAATAATTACTGTTACTGTCTCTGATTGTCTAAATGTATTTTTACTGTCTAAATATATGTATTCAGCTAGTGTAAACATGCACGATGCTATCACAGCGAATGCGAGGCTGAGACTGAAGCGTTACACTTTATTTCCGCTGAGAGATGTGCCACGTGACTCATTTCCCCGCGCTTACTAGTTATCTTAGGTCGGCGTTCACGGGTTTGACTTCTGAGATTCAGATCGAGTTCTAGGTAAAAAAAATTTCGAACTGGTTGGTTCGACTTTTAAGAAATTCGAGTGATAATGAGTTTGAGAACTGAGGTACCACTATTTTTATTATTAGCCATTGCGCCTATCAGCTACCTTAATAACAGACGGCTAACGTGTTTGTTGGCTAACTGCTTATAGATAAACGGCTAATGTTAAGGTGCACGCTGGCCAAGTTAACATTTTTGGAGTGTTTAATAGTTCAGTGTTGCTGGAACGCGAGCTTTACTGACCTTTCAAAATTTCTCAGACGTGCTGCTTGACTTTGTCACCACAACTAATTTTTAATATCGATTAGTATCTGAGAATCAATTTTTTTTGACAACTCCAGTGTCTCATTATTTTCAACTCCAGCTTCAGCTACATCTTCCGTTTCTGATCTTTCGTGGTACATTTTTAGCGGTGCAGCAGTGGAAAAGGCCCCCCCCCCCCTTAAACAGTTAACAGCTGCTCTACTTTCTGACCGTTGTTTAGGCTATTTAAACCGGTATTGCGGTATGAGAAATTCATATCATAACAATAATGAAAAACTGTTTTCGGTATGAAGCTGTATACCGCCCAACACTAATGTGAGCTTGGCATTAGAGTATAAGATGGGATCAAAGTGTTGGTTTTCATGCTTTTGGTTTCTTCTTGTCCAGGACTGTGCTATCTTCGCGTTGTGCTATCAGAATGCTCTCATGGTCTGACTTTGAGAATCTCTTAGGATTTCTTTCCTTGATTCTGACAGGGAACCCGACGCCATTTTCCCCTGACCCTGCGGCCCTCATGAGCATCCTGCGGAATGAGGGGGTGCGAGCAGGAGACGCCTTTCGGGGCTCTGTGTGCTCGATGGGCCGAAGCAGCTCCAACTACCTGGTAATTTAACACCTCTCTTCCCTCGAGCCATATGGCCTCTTCCTGGTATGTTACTGGTCAGCATCACACCTGTTCGCATTATGTTGTTGCCTAGGCGTTAAGGTGTTATTGTTATGCAAATCAGACAGTTATGAACTGGTCACACGATTCAGACCTTTGGCTTTGAGTGAGTGGTCCCATGTTAGTTTAATTAAACGTTTGTTTTGATCCAGTTGATTAGCAGGATTCTGTTTTAAGCTGCTTTTGTGGTTCAGCTGGTAATGCCAGAGAATATGAAAATTAGAATTTGGTGATCAGTGGTCATTGTTGACACACCACACAACAACGAAATGTGTCCCCTGCATTTAACCCCATACGTGACGTGACGTAGCAGGGGGCAGCTAATTCAGCGTCCAGGGAGCAGTGCTTGGGGGCGGCACCTTGCTCAGGGTACCTCAGTGGTGCCTTGCTGGTCGGGGATTCGAATCGGCAATCTTTCAATTACAAGTGCGCATCCCGAACCATTAAGCCACCACTGCCCACAAGATGCGTGTGTGTATGTTTCAGCCGCAGAGAGTTCCGGTCACAAAGTCTCGCCATGCGGCAGGAGCTGCCACAGGTGAGCATAAGGATGCTTTCTGAATGGACTGATGGCAGATGGACACTCCTGTCTGATTTTGCGTTTCCCCTTCTAACCTCCCACTTTGCCTGGCTATTCCTCGTATCCGCTTAGCACCCCCCCAGGCTGAGTCCACATCTACCCGCACCCCAACAACACGGTGGACACCCCAGCGAGTCCCCAACACACGGCCACAGTCCATGGTGAGTCACCGCTCGTCTGAGCTGTTTGATTAGCATCTCTTCCTCGGGGTATTGAACTTTTTTTTTTTTCTTCTTCTTCACTTGCTATGTCCATGTTGTAGTTGAAGCTTCACCTGACCCATCGGACACCCATCCTAAGGCATACCCCCAAGTTGGAATCAATCCAGGGCTTCAGCTCTGCTCTCAAATCCTGCAAAGAGGTGAGAGAAAGTGAAAAGTCACTCCCTCCGCGCTGTGTGGCTGGTAGGATGCAGAAGGTTAACTTTTGCAGTGACAACCTTGTGCTTAGAGAAAACTTAGAAGGGAAAAAAAAACACACATCCATTTATTAACATTCCTGCTGTAATATTCAGCTTTTAAAATAATATCACCAGTAGAGTGTGTTTGACTCTGGAAATTGAAGTTGAGAATCGGAACCAGGACTCTGTGTGGTGAAATGATGACTAATGCTCCCTGTGAAAATGAGGAACATGAATATCCTCCTCAAACCTTGTGTAATCAGATTATTACATTAGTGCAGTGGTTCCCAAACTGGGGGGCGCAGAGGTATTGCGGGGGGGCGCACCAATGGGATAGCCTCAGGGGCATGTGCCACCCTAAATAATCTCTTCACAGACTGGACGATTAAACAAATGAAGCAGCACAACATTACAGTAACTAATAAACTACTAACTTACGTGTACTATTAGAGCATTTATGTAATTTATTTAAACTTTATTTTACCAGGTAAATTAACTGAAAACCAGTTCTCACTGCTTTACGTGATATTCAGGAGAAATAGCAGATAACGCATCGGAACTTCCTAGGATATAAACGTCATACAAACGTCACGTTCTTCAGCTAATAAGGGCAAAGTTGTCGCCACAGAGGCTGTTCCAGTTTGTTCAGCCGGCTGCGAGGTGCTGTATGATCTGTCTTAAGTCGTCATGCTCCTGCAAGGTTTTTGTACCATGTGACATATGGTGACGCGTGACGACGTTTTGCATCGCCGGACAAAAAAATCTAACCATATCATGAAAAACGTGGTTTAAAATTTTCTATTTTCTGAATGGGGGGGGGGGCTCAATAATTTTCCTATCTAGAAAAGGGGGGGACCTGCAGGGAATGTTTGGGAACCACTGTCATAAGTGCCATGTTTCCATCAGCATGGTGCCTGAGCTGGTGGAAATAATGCCTGGTCTCAGAATTGGGAACCCGTAACAACAGCGAAAGTAGGCCGGACGATCGCATCCAAACCATAACAGATGTAGTTTTCTCTCTCCTGTGCCAGCAGTAAAACAACTTTCCAGCTTTAGCGGAATAACATTACATCTTTTTTTTTTTTCCTTTTTTTATTCCGCAGAAAAGGAAAGATCAATGTGCTCAGGCCAAATGTAATAATTGTAAACGTGTTACAGGGTGAATAAATAAAATATTGTGATGCTCCAGTGGTGAACAGATTAAGGTGGACAGCAAAGTTAAATATTAAACAGACTTTTATTGGGCAAAACTGTAAAGGATGGTGGTAAAACAAGAAATGTCATCTCAGTGCCCCCAGACAGTATGACATGGCACTTAGCCATCTCTCCAATGTGACTCTCCCTGCCGTCCCCTGGGGGATGGGCTCCCCCTTTGAGTCTGGTCCCTCCCAAGGTTTCTTCCTTCTGGGGAGTTTTTCCTTGCCACTGTCGCCTATGTCTTACTCACTGGGGGCTTTGGGTGGGGATGCTGTAAAGCGCTTTGGGACAATGTAATTTTGTGATAAGTCTATACGAAAATAAAGTCTATAGTCTATACGAAAATAAATTTGTTTTGTTGAATAAACTCGTATACTTGCACAGACTGGGGAGAAAAACAGTCTTTAAGGAGACAAAAGTGGATGAAGGCAATAGAGACAGATGCAGTTATACTCTGAAAACAGACTTAAAGGCTTTTTATTTTGTTTCTGTGGCTTAACTTAATATCTGAAATAGATCAAATTCGATCCAAAAAAAAGAACACTTCATATGAACCTTTATTTCTACTTAAAAACCTTTATTTCTGCCTGTGTAATAAATGTTACATTCTCTTTTGAAACCAGTGGAAACATAGGCAGGTTCTCAAAAGGCACTGGTTTCCAGTGGAAGCTTAGGTATAGGATTGACCTGCTTACCTTGATGATATGAGAGACAGGGTCACACAGCACAAGAGGACAGTCAGCGGGTCACCGTTTGTCTTAAAAAATGAGTGGAAGTGTGTAAAAGCAAGTGGTGAAACTCCAGAACAGAAACCTGCCTTTGGCGGAGAATATTCCAGTTTGCAGATCAGGGTAATCAGAGCGTGAATAATTCAAAGGCGGCGGATAAGCTATTTAAAAAGCCTTGGATACTGAATCAATAAGCACATGTAGCTCTGAATATGTGCCATCTTTTCAGCCCCTCAAACAGAAATGTGGGTAGTTCGGTTAACATGGTTCCCAGTGTTGGATTTGGCTGGACTTAGTCCCTTCCTGCGTTTGCTCTGCCAGGTGAATGTAGTTCAAAGGCTGTTTGAAGATGTGGAGGAGGAGGAGGAGGTGATCGTGCTGCATTCTGGAGGAAAAAACACTGACTTCCAAAAAGATGGCGCTTCAGAGCCAAAAGCTACAGTAAGAATACCTGTCATCCATTTCTCTTTTCAGATCTCTGGTTTATTTATTTTTGTATTAAGTCTTTGTCTTTTTGCACTGAAAGTTAGACGGTGTGTTTTTGTTTTTGACTTCATTGTGGGTGGTTCTGTAGGTGTTTCCCTCAGTTGAGGAGGAGGCGGGGCCAGTTGAGGGGGTGGAACAGACGGCCAAGCCCTCCGAGCCTCAGCCCTTTGTCCAGGCAGTGCACCGGGGCTCTGTCATAGTCTTCACCCAGGGTGGGAAGGTTCTGCATACTCCCGGACCTGCGGAAGGCCTTCAGGTCCAGCAGGCCACCACCAGCATGGCTCCTAGGGCCCCCCCCGTGCGCGGACAGGGGCATGCCAGGCTGCATGCCCTTGCTTCCCCAGGCCTGCCTTCGTGTCCTACATTGATTTCAGGAATTAAAGCCGGTACTGTGCCCCCCCCACTCCGCCACTGTGCCTGTCCGTGTCTAAAACAGCTTTGTCACTCATCACAGAGAAACTGCAGTCTCCTTAACCTTCTGGGGTCTAGGGGTGGGGAACACATTTTCACTGACTGGGGAATGGTCACACACTTCATTCAATATCTTAAACTTAATTCATGGCAAATAAATTATTTCTTATATAATTGTTTTGGCATTACACTCCATCTTTATTTTAATGTACTTTGTAAATATTTCAGATTTATGTTAAGTTTGTAATCTGACATGAAAGTATAGACATTGCAAAATGCAGTTTGGAATAATTGCAGAAAGATTATAAAAGTACATAGTAAGCAATGCTGGCAGTTTGTTTTGGTCCCAGATATCTGATCACCAAAGTGTTGGCTACATGAAGATAACTAAATGGTGTAGTTGCAAGATTCTGTTGGATAAGTAAATAAGAAAAAGCTAACTCATGTCACTATTTCTGGCCTCCTTCCATTGAATATGTAGGAGCTCTCGTGTAAATGCATGAGCCATTTACAATTGGCCACAACCCCCCCCCCCCCTTTTATGGTGCTGATGGGGATGTATCTGGATCGCGTTTCACCGTTGCGCTGTTAATCAAATTACCATGCGAATGCGATTTGAATACGCGCTAATGCGGCTATTTAGAATGTGAATAGCGATCTTCGGGTGAGAGCGGTACTACACGCCCCCGAAGCAGGTAAAACAAAGTAAGGTGACATGGTTTACTTTTTTGCCTATTTAACCTAATTTTAAAAACTTTAATACTTTTGACAATGGACGTTTTGAAAAGAAGACAGATTACAGATTTAGTCAGGTTTTTTTTTTCATGATTCTACATAAAAATTTAGGCGAGATATAAAATGAAATAGACACAAATGAAATACGCTGCATCGCCGACGATGTGCTCGTCCCCAGAGGGTTAACCGCTATGCCACCTACAGGCTACGTTCTACCATCCAACCATTCAAACTTCACACTCTCATCCCACTGACCTCCGCTGGCATCTAACAGCTCTGTCCTTCTGACAAAGCCCAGGTAGCCAGTACGGGCCCACAGCGTTTGCGGGTCACCAAAGCTCAGCCTCAGATTGAAGTGGTCCGCCTGCAAGTTCTCCTCGCCGTAAATGGTGTAGTAGCCACTGGCACTGTGGGGACTGTTCACCCAGATCTGAGACCGGGGGCAAGGGGAGATGGGTTAGACAGTACAGTAGGGGGGCACTGTAGAGCACAGCAGGATCCTTGGGGGGGGGGTACAAAAAGAAGCCCAGGTACTAACCCATAGACGTCACTGAACCGTACTCACCTCTCCAAGATGGGAGTCTCCCAGTGGACCCTGCGTCTCTGGATTCACTATAACCACACGCACTCCTGGGAGGATCTGGAGGCATGTAAAAAAAAAAAACACACACAACCCAACTGGATATCAAGTCAATGAATATGGGTCACTGTTCAGCAAGCTGAGGAATGTGTTCAGACAAATCAGTGGAAAGTAGCGGTGAATTCTGGGTATAACATGGCCACCGGCACCAGGGTCACTCCCTGGGAGACTCACCGTGCCCGATTCCATGAGCGGAAGGCTCTGGGGGGCGCCGCGCTCCACCAGCCGCACCCTGGAAGACACGCGTCACGGTCAGTACCTTCTATTCACCCTATGTTAAACCCCCCCCCTCCCATCCCATCCCATGTTGCCCCACCTGTCGTGCCGAAGGGATTTCATGTCCACATAGACAGTGGAGGGATCAGGTCCAGTGGTGCCCTGGTGAAAAGACATAGAAGAAACAGTGTCATTGTACCTGGGACTGGCATAGCTGAAGTATTTAAGATGGGGTTAGCAGAGTGGGCTGATTAGAGTGGGAAAGCAACAGTGTCCGGTGAATCACAGCATGATGCAGCAACCGGCCGGCACCTACCTGCAGACAGATGGCCAGATTGACGCGCGAGCTGAAAGCCGTACTGACAGCACGTGAGGACAGGCCCAGGTCCTTAAAGAGCTTAGAGAAGGACTGGGTGAGCGCCAGGCGGGGGCGCTCCTCAGCGACCACCACGCAGCTTCGCACGCACGTCAGGTTCACGCCGCGGGCCTGCGCCAGACAAGGAGAGGACAGGTCGGGTCGAGCCGAGATGAGATGGCGTGGTGCTGCCCTGCCAAATTTCTTCCGCCTGCCAGATTCCTTCTGCCTGCGACGTATCGCGACGTATCGCTCAGCTGTTAGACCGATGGTGCAATCGTGATCTTGCAGTTTCAAGGTACCCTGAAAGTTTCACGCTCACCCTTACCGCTGCGGCAAGTTCGCATCAATAAACTTTATTTGCTAACTCA